TATACTTAATTATGCATTTATTGAAAGTGAAACTGTTGATGCATTTCTGTTAATAGATCTCATTTTGGAAAATATTGATATCTTTCAGTCATGATTATTTTTAAGATTATGATAATCACTTACTGAGTAGCCAAACTCATCAAACTATTGTAGACATTTTTTCAGGATAACTGCGGATTCATTTTGAGTGCTAGTCAAGATCAATCTTGGAAGATACTGTTGTTGCGCTAGCTTTCTTTATTTACTTTGTAAGACCTCGCCACTATAAATTTGTCCTATCAATAGATGTATATATGTTTTGTCTGTCACATCTCAGGAATAACAGTATTGTAAATTCTTGGGGTGTGACAGTCCAATAAGTGAGTATAACTTCCCTCTGCGGAAATTTTGACCATGAAACAATCCCACTATAGTAAGGACTAGCCTCCACAGAAAACTGTAGCCAGACATTATGTGGGTACCTATCGAAGCCTAACTCATTTTAGCTTTTTACTTAGTTAGCAACCCTGCCAACCCAACCAACCTATGAGAGAGCAAGGGAAAGGCCCAAGTTCGATCACCAGTCATACTGGGCGAAGAGCCCAATGAAACCATACTGGAGCAAGAGCCTGACAACATTGAAGATTCATCTCAATGTGACCTTGATGAGGTGACAATTGAAGAATGTGAAACCGATCCCTAGTCAGAGTCATCTTCATAATCACGTAAGGATACAGATGGAGCTCACTGATGACAAAGCCAAGAGATATCAAATGATACAACTGCACATGTGAAGATAAAAAAGTCTTAGTCGATATCAATCTGATAAGGATCGACAAGTTAAGACTCCTGCCCAAGCCTAAAAATCATCTCATATGGCCTTGAGGCATAGGAAGAAACTGATCTGAAAATGAAGAATGAAATGATACGATGACCTATGTTGCTAGGGAATTTGAGAAACCAAATGATGAGAATTGCTTTAGCTCTGGGTCTATTCCATGGGGAGCTCCAATAGAATTAGAGGAGTCCAACCTGCAAAAGGAACACACTACCTTAATAACAAGAACTGGTGTGGAGACCCTCAAGGGATCAAAATCGAATAATGTTGGTCACCAAAGGAGGAAGCCTTTCCAGTTGTCCCATTAAAAGTTGAGAATATGAAGACAAAGAGACCAAATTATCTATCCCATGGAAAATTACCAGATGAGCATGAGCTCACTCACTACCCTATGCTAGGGAATCTCAAAAAACAAAATGCCAAAGATTGCCTTAGCCTAGGGTCCATGATCCAAGAGAGGACAAAAGAGCAAACTGCCCTATAAAGAGTTCCAATTAAGGTAGAAGGAACTAACTTGTAGGAGGCTCAAGACACCCATGTCCTAGATAGTGGGGCAGGGGCAGATAATCCAAATCTTGTGGCTAGGGGATTCTCGAATTCTTAATGATGAAAATAGTCTTACCCTAGGTTTTGAAACTCAAGAAAAAGAGAGCTATTCAAGAAGAATCTCATTTCCGGTTGAAGATACGAGCTCACAGAAAGTTTAAAACATTCATGTGATACATGTCATGACAAAAGCGAGGGACCTAATTAATCTCATCTTTCAAATAAGTGCAGTAGGTAAGAAATGCCTTAGACTCGAGACTATAAATCAAGAAGAAACTCCAATCTTTGAAGAAGTAAATGAGCAAGTAGTCTTATGTGAAGCAAGTTAGCAAACATTGATAGGAGAAAGCCAAGGGGAAGAATATTCAAGTTCAAAAAGAAATTTATCTCCTTAAAGGTTTGTGGAAGAACTTGAACCTTTGGAGATCCTAAGAGGCCCACTTGGGCCACTTTCACTAGACTTCTTCGATGATCCACCGATTTGGGATTAAGAGCTGAACCTAGATTTGACTATTCCTAAAGCTTCAAGATCTCTACGAGAGTTTGGAGAAATCAAACCCCTAGAACTCCTTAGGTGACCACATGTGCCACTTTGAGAAGATTTCCTGGATAACAGATCTATTTGTGATAAATAACCCATAGAAGAAAATAAGTGTAGGGGCATGAATCCACTAATTGGGGCACCTCATATTCAAGAGGAAAACGAAGATCTAGCAATGGCAGTTACATCTACTAGCTTGATAGAGATCGCCCCAATCAAAACGATGCAGAGGTTGTCCCATCTGATATACCAATAGGGGTGGTCTCATCCACTAATGAAAATATAATTGAGGTAATCCTATCCAACATACCGATAGAGACAACCACATCTAATGAAGGAAAGCTTATAGAGCCCCATCAAACTACTTGATAGGGATACCTTCGCTTGATAATGATAATATAGTAGGGGCAATTGATGAGGCCCACGCCTTATCATGCGACTCCCGACATGCCTTGAGACGATATACTCCCTAAGAACAACATGAAGTTTCCAAAGAAAAAGATTACTGCAAAGGCGTGGAGTGATCACTTATTCCTCTCTTTCAAATATGCAAGTGGGGAATCCCCACTCTGCTTAGGCATCCTACTATATGGCTTTAGTAGCTTAAGGAGAACAAAAAAAAACCCAGAAAAGAAAAAATAGAAAATGAGTTTAGCCAACCCAACAATAGATTGAAGAACTAGGAAGCTGAGAGTGACTCCAAGCCTAAAGATCAAAGTCCGAGTGAAGCAATTCAAAGAGGAAAGCCTCGATAGGAATTCAATAACCACTGTCAAGGAAGTATTTGATATCAATCAGAGGTAAGGAAAATCCGAAGATAACTAAAACTAGAACCTCCCAGCCACCTGGACAAAGGAAGGTTGATTGAGTTTTAATCTGGACAAAGGGGAAAAACACCACTGACTCTTCTTATTCTCCGCCTCCTTCATCTTCTCCTCTTCTTTCTTCATCATCTTCAAAAGTGAAAAGAAAAGAAGAGAAATTCTGCTAGGCTGAAAGTTCGAAAGGAACTCGAATGTTGAGAAAAAGGACCATCGAGTTGAACACCCGAAAAGGGTGATAAGAAAATAAAAGAAAAAGGAACATGAAAGAGAAATTTCGCAGTGCCGAAAATCTAATTGGAACTCCAATCGTTGGAAAAAGGCCACCAGGTTGAGCACCAAAGGGACCCCAGGGCAACAACAACATAAAAAAAGAAAATATCTATTTTTTCTCTTCTCCAAAATCTTTAAAAATTCTTCTCTTCCTAAATCAAAATGGTGTTAGAAAGCAATGTAATATGAAGGTGTCAACTTAAGTAAAATTTGAAGAGCCTTAACTATCTAAATTTCAGAAGAACTAGTAGTGGAGGAACAAAATTGGAAGTCCAAATAGATTCTGAACACTCAAGGACAATACCCATATTATTTAAAACACTGGCTTACTCAGAAACTTAAGAAAACACTCCCTTGAGTTGTGACAAAAGGGCCAAGATTTGGAGATGAGGAAGTACCCAATGATTCATCACCCTAAAGGTCCCAAGCAGAGTCTCGGTAAAGCTCATATTGAAAAAATAAAAGAAGAAGACGAAGAAAGTTCTATGGTAGCATGAGCCTAAATTGCTAACCAAACTTGTTTTTTGAAATTCTCCCTCTTTTGAAAATTTCCCTTATGTGTTTGTCAGATTTCAAAAATATTAGTTTCTTTGTTAAAATCGTATGCCCAGAAACCTAGTTTTGTTTTTAAAACTTCTCTCTCTGCCTTCAAAATTGCTAAAAAACGTTTTCTAAAACCCATACATGATGTTACCACATTTCTACCTTCTCTGAAAGTATTGAAGCATAGACTAAAAACCTTAAGAAAACCCATTTTAAAGAGGACAACCTATAGGTTCCCAAACCATCAACCTGAATTTGTAAATCCTGAGAATTTAGAATCAAAGGTAAGTAGAAATTCAACTAGCAAAACATTCACCACCTTCATTTGTCTCTTAATTCAAATTCTCATTCGATTGAAAACTGGGCCCCAAAAAATAATGTCTAAAACCAAATATGACTACACTTACATCCCGAGTAACATTAGGGTGACCTCAACAAGAAGTCACCAGCTCAAAGATGACACAATTCCTACTTACTATCACTTCGAATCCCGATTGTCAAAAACCTTTAAACGCCACTACCTCAAAGCTAACGCAATACTAATTCAATGTCTTACAAATAAAAAACTATCCATCGACGTATCACCCCCCCAAAGAGTACATTGGAATCTATTTCTCCGGAACAGAAATATGGGGACCCAAATTGCTCCTAAACAAAAAAATGAGTTTGGGAATCAAAATTTGATGGATGTTTAGTTATCGTTTGTTGGCCCACCTGACTCCAGTGCTTCCAAGTTAAGCAATGCAACGATAAAAGCCCAATGCCAATTTTCATAAGGCCCAAACTCCAAATGAAATTTGAGCTCTAACAGTCGCCAATTTAAAACATCACTTTCTTTTGTTACAGAATATTATATAGAAAACTTGGTCCAATACCACAAGCATACAGCATGATCAAAACCCCTACGAAAACCAGAGACTACCGAATCAACTTAAACAGATTATGAAAAGCCTTGAGGCGAAGAATTTTAAAAGGCTATTGCTTGACCTGCATCTATTTAATTTCTGAAAACAATAAAGCCCAAAGATTTCATATTCCCATGGCAGCATACCATCCATTTATTTCTTTAGGCAAAACCCATTCTACAAGTAATTTTAGGACCGAAATGCAACCTCTTCAACCCTATATTATACTCGGTTGAAAAAGGAGAGGGGGGGAGGATCCCATCTACAATCTCCAAAGCCTGAAAAAAATAAAACCTCAAAATTGTATAGAAGCCATCCAATTTTCAAAGAGTGAGATTTTAAGTGTTCAATAACTCAGAAATTCAAATTTTTCTTTTTACTTTTGAACAAAATCATCTAGTGATTTTTAAGCGGTTCCCAAAATTTCTGATTAAAATAACTTTCCCAAGTCAATCCGCCACTCAATGGAGTAAACGATAAAAGCCCAATCCCATGGGAGAATAGTACACACGCTCCAGAATAAATTTGGTGAAAAGCTGCTACGGCACGCATTATCCTCAATAAAGAAAACAGCCCAATCTTAAAATCCTATAAATGCCCGAAGGTATCAAAATTCTCATCCTCTTTGGAAGAAAATAAAATTCAATACAGAAATTGCTTAGAATTGTAGAGGAACATTTGGAAGGACATCAGCGTGGAACACCACTATGTCCCCAGTTTGCTTCCTACTACTGACCAACCCAAAAGGAAACAATGTCAAACATGGAAACAGGATGAAATCGAGAAGAGTCAGAATTCCACTCCCATGAGAATGCATCATAAGGATAGAGCAAACCAATTCAACCACGTATCTGTTCCCAAGGAGAAAGAAATCACCCCAGCCTGTGTATGCTCTATCAATGCTCATCAGCTAGTTGTGGAGCACACTTGCGCACAAAAAGGTAATGGATTTTAAATAAAAATTAGTGGACTAGGTCCTTACCATACCCTATATATATATATACTATAATAGAAGCCTAAATGAACGTTGAGAAAGAGCAGCCCCATACATGTATCAAGCAGAGTGAGCAATCAGGTAGTGTTATACAACAACGATTTGAATTATGGCTTGGATGAGCATGTAAGGATGTGAGATTTGAATTTCTCAAGCTCTTCCAGAACCTCCTCCTCTGGCCTGTAAATCAAGTCGCTCATGCGCCATATCTGCAAGAGTCAAGATGACTAACTAAATTCAGCACTATCTGTAAATCTCCACATATATCATCAGAGATAGCTCCCTTATTTTTGTTTAGAATAGAGAAATATACGAGGAATTCAAAGAGCACATGCGCTTTTTATGTCCCAGCATTCAGAGAAGTACAAAGCAAATGTAAGCAGTGGCTGCATATGAAATAAAATGAATTTGTTTACCAAGCATTTATAGCAAGAATCGAGAACATTGAAACTAACTAGACATGCACCTCAATATCTGTTAATAAATTGGGTCGCAATTTCTATATATAAGAAACAAGATTGTAGAAATCAAGACAGGGCATACACGCATATCAGGAAGTGGCAAGGTTAAGCAAGGCATAAAAGGTGACAACAGGTATGAATTTGTCTTGCAGAAGAATAAGGCTATTTTAGAGAAAAGGAAAAATAGGAAAAATAGGAAAAATAGGAAAAATAGGAAAACTAAGAAAAATTTGAAATCATAATAGAATAAGACAAAATAAGACCCAAATAATCATCATTAACAAATATAATGATAATGATAAAGCAAATTATAAAATTATAGTTGATCCAAACGAAGTAACAGACTATAATAGTAATAAAAAAGTAGATAATAGCACTAATCGAATATAGAGAACAAAATGAATAACCAAACACAGTAAATGTACATATAATTTTGGGAAATTTATTAAAATACCTATGAGAGATGCACTATTTAACATTTTACATTTTTGAAACTATTTGAACTCAGTATCATGTGTTTTCTTATGAGTAATTCTGAAAATAAATCAAATAATACGTGTGCAATATTAAATAGTTCATATCACAGGTATTTCGGTAATTTTCCCTCTGTTTTTTATGAGTTAAGCATTGATATTTTGAATCACAGTTTCACAAATCAGGCTGCACATTAGACTCCAACTGCAATGTTTAGTCCATCGAAGACCCAGGAGATACCCGTCAACACCTCATAACTGTATCGACTTTGAATGTTAACTTGTATTACGAAAAATATAAATAAAATCAAGATGTGCTACATGGACTTTGTCAAATATCACTCACATAACCTAAAGAAACCTACAAGTACAATAAGTTGTGGGAAAAATGGCATAAATTCAACTAAGCACTATCATATTTTACATGTGCTACATGGACTATGTCAAATATCACTGACATAACCGAAAGAAACCTACAAGTACAATAAGTAGTGGAAAAAAATGGCATAAATTCAACTCACTCTATCATATTTTACATGAGTAATATCGGTAGCAAAACAACCTTTTTTTATGATAACTGTCATATAAAAGACAATAGATATATCAGCTTGGGTGCAGGGGGTCAAGGGCTTGAAGTTTGTCTAGGAAAGCCCAAACAAGCTAACCTAGCCCTTTTCTTTTTTCCCCTTTTGATATCCTCCTAAAATTTATATAAAAAGGTATTATACATCTAATCGTAAAAAGAGAAATTGACCATTATTATGGGATTTCACCATTGTCCTAAGGCCCAAGATTTTTGGGTCTTTGAAATTTCGTCCTTCAAATAAAATTTATTTCAACTAATTCTGGCAGCATTAGGTAGTTTCAACTTATTCTATAAGACCAGTGTTTAAGAATACAGATTCAACTGCTTAGGCATGGGCCTCATGTTCGAGGTGCCCAAGAAGAGAGGGGGAGGACTAGGGCTGGATAACAAACTCTCCTTAATTGCACTTATTTAATAAGTATTGAAGCAATAAAACGACTTTTTCAATTCATTTACCTCTATTAAAATTTACAAAAGGGACTTTAGGTGGGTAAAATACCCCTGGAAACCCTTTCAGCCCTTTCCCCAATCACTCCCCCAAACCAAACCCCCCAACCTGCCCAAGGGGTCCCCGACACAGGAGCTAGGAGGGCTACTAGTTGATGCCTAAATTGGTCCCACTTATATGGAGAACACCAATAATTGGGGATGCATGCAACATGTTCTTAGAAGACTGTTTAGACTCCATCCGTAATAAGGCAGCTAGGTGCAATGACTTATGCACCACATCCAAGCAGGTACTTAGTGAAGTTTGCCATCGACTAAATAAAACTTGGTAGAGTTAACGGGAATAAGTTAGAGTTATTAAACTCAATCAAATGCCAGGTTGAATAAGTTAGCAGATAGTAAACTGAAGTCTAATACATGCAAAAAAGGTAGCCACATCTAATACACGGTTTAAACCCATACATACTAAGCACAGAATGGGATCCAAACTCTCCTGAAATTATATTGCAAATTTACACAATGAGAACCAAGAGAAAACCTGTAGTGTTCCTCCTCCACCAGTACTCTCTCCATCATCAGATACACTAACTATTGTCCATGGATCAGAAACATTCCAGTGAAAATCAACAACCTTATCCCTGCAGACAGTGGCAACTGGATCAGTCAACAACAATGCAAAAAAGGTCGGCGATTAATTGACCAGCCAAACATTTCCAAATTAGTAGTATTAGCAATTCAATGATAAACCATATGAACCATAAATGTCTAAGAGAATAATTTCCTTCTCAACCAGTATAATACTATAGCCGATCCAACAAATGACAAAAGAAGTCAGTAGAATGTCTCATGAGCTCTCCAAAACTTTACCGCCAAAATTTATAGAAAGTATTTCCTAATATCATCATTAAACTTCCAATCGACACTATATGTGTGTTAAGGATTGGATTATTTTGTTTTAAGGTTCTTTGTATTGGCTCTGGGGCATTCTTGTCTTTTTATAAACTTACGGACATCAGTTACATTAGGTTTACATATAAGGGCATTTCTGTCATTTGCCAAGTCTCTTATTATTCTAATTGAGTATAAGAGGTGTGTGGAGAAAAAGTGATCAGCTACCTCTCCCAATTCTCTTCACACGCACTATTCTCGATTTCTCTTCTCACGAGCTCCATCTCTTTCTCCATCCTTATTTTAGCAACTTTTTTAACATGTTCTCAGAACAAGATCCTTAGATCTTAATATAACCTCTCACCTTCTCCTTAAAATAAAAAAAAAACAATTATCAGAGAGAGCGGGAGGGGAAACCCTAATTTTTTTGGTGCTGATCTCACTAAGGAGAACCTAGGTCCTCTTCTTTTCTATGTGCAGAACCAATATGTTGATCTGTGTTTGGTGTGAATGTGTTTTGCTGATGTTTCCTCTCTTGGAGATGAAAACAAAGGAGAATAGTTGCTGAAAAGTGTTTGTAAAAATGATACTATACGAAGCTTGTGGGGGTTCATTTGTGATCCTTGTTCATTGATGCTTGAATGGTAAGTATTCTCTCCATAAGTTACTGTAAGTGGTTGTTTGTGTTGTCTTTTGCCTTGCAACCTACTGTTTTTGTGATCTATGAGGCTCAATTGAGTGATTTAGGGCTTCTAATAATGCTGTATTGGAGTTTTATAGCCATTTAAAGGCCTTACGAGAGCATTTACTGAAAAACATATAGTGAAATGCTAGCTCCACACTAGGCTGTGAGGCATTTCTAACGTCTAGATACCCCTGAGTGTTGACTGGCTATGGCTCAATGTGATTTCCAAAAGCCCGTAGTCCTGGGTAGGCGTGAACACAGCCGACAAGGGTTTTCGATGTGGGGTTATCCTTTGATGAGGTCGCAGTTGTGCCCAGAACAGTTGGCCAAGGGACATGGACTTGACCCCTATGCGTGATGGATGACCTAAGAGGACAAGGGCCTAAATCCTCATCATCACTGTCACACAACATGTACACTAGATAGTTGTCCGGGAAGAGGCCCTTTATAGATAAGGGTATGCGATGTGTAAGAATGATGACTCCCTGCAACACTAGACTGTGTTGAAGGACTCATGGAGCATACTGCTGAAATGGGAACCGAACTTGTCCTCAGGAAGTAATGCAGGGGAGAAAAAATAATAATTAAAATAAAAATAAACAGAGGGTGAGAGAATATACCCTCTCACAAGGTATGCAAGGGAATCCACCCCACGATCTCTTCACAAGATCTCAACACAAATTCTTTCTTCACAAATAACCACCGCCTCCAAGATGGAACTCCTCACTTTAAATGCAAAATTTAACTAAACTATACTAGAAAGCTCCTACGAAATCCTAGACGTCCATTCCATTTAATTCTAACCACCCATTATTAACTTAAAAATAAATGACTAAAGTTGCCCCTAATGAAAATAAAAATAACAACTAAATTAAAAAGAACAATAATTACTAAGCCCTAATAACCTACTTCAATAATTCTTAAAAATCCCCAAAATATAACCCTTAATTAAATTACATAAAAAAACCCAAACCAGATCATTCCATCCGTGCGTTAATCTCCTCTGGTTGAAAAAAACTCGTCCTCAAGTTTTGAAGAGGGCTAAGATGACATCTGCCTCAAACCCGCATCCTTCATTTGCTTTCTTCTCGTTTGACTCTAAAGTATGAATGGTTGTGAAAATACCTCAAATAATGAATCAAAATATGGAGGAGGAGGAATTAAAGCAAATATCTTTAACTCAGCTATCATTTCATCATCAACTAACTACATCATATTATACTATATCTTATTTATCATTTAGCACACACTCTATAAGCATAACCATAATCCATAAGTCGGTTCATACTCCATATTCAATTAAAACTTAACCACATCAACTAACCGCTCGACCTCATCATCATCAACTAACCACTCCATAGCATGGTCCATATTTTTTGAACTGATGGGGTCTATCTTATCTCTTGTATCTCTTAGCAAACTTGTCCTTTAAAAATCGATTGTACTTGACATAGACTAGGTCATTGAGCCTCTTTGATTCAAGCATGTTCCTTTTATTTGTATGAATCTAACAAAATCAAATCAAACTAATTAAAATCTAATATCTATGCTTCATGTATTATTTATAAAATTATACAAATTACCCTTACAACCTTACCCCTTCAAAAGTATTCCAATTGCGCTCACAACCGGATGAAGAAGTGGTTAGGTTTAAGATCCAAATGGCCAATTTTTGTAAATTTGGAGAACTACACCCATGTTGGCTCCACCAACGGGCTGCAAAGATATATAAAAAAGTCATAAATAAATAATAAAATTACATGATTACTTGAACTTGATAAAGATGAACCTAAGAGTATTATTAATACATGGTCTAATTTTGGTCCTTTGCCTCATCGCCATTGGAGTCCCAAAAGACTTTAATGAGCACTTGTAATTTATCAGCTCATCGGCGCATATCATATCATGCATTTCAAGATCAAGGACTAGCACCTCTACACACTCATTAAATCCTTTCACAATTGTGTCATTTGTTTGTATATCCTTGTCAAAATAAAACAAAGCAGGGTTCAAAAAATAACCAGCTGCATGCAATGGTCGATGTAGTTGCCTATCCCACTTCTCATCAATAATATCCCAAACAGGCTAGTAGCGAGTTTCTTCATCATTGAAATTTTGGGCGACCTCTCTTCTGCATTTCTCCATAGCATCATATATGTAGCCCATAGAAGGCTTGTCACTATCAACCATGCGAAGGACTTTAACAAGAGGAAAAAATACCTTAAGAGTGTCCTTCACCCTTTGCCAAAAAGGCTTAGAAAGGATAATATCTCTCACCTTCTTCCCAACCTGATCCTTAGACCATTTGCATGCTCTCCACTCATCCGAGATAAACATTTGCCTCAACTGCACTCTCCTTGAATGTATGTTATCTAGACATAAGTACCAGGTCGCAAATCTCGTGACCCCAGGCCTCACAATCTCTTTCTTCTTTGTAAAGGTGCGCATCATGCTGAGGGTGAGATGGTGGTTATAAGTTAAATTTGTAACTAATTTGGCTTTCTTCACTGTACTAGATACCTCGGTTAAACAGCTAAGAGCCTCAAGCATGAGGTCTATACAATGTGCTACACATGGTGTCCAAAAGATTCTAGCATAAGCTATGAGCAACAAATTAGATGCAACAACATTAAGAGCAGCATTGTCTATGACAACCTGTACAACAAGATGCTCCCCAACCTCCTTGATTCCCTTCTTTATCACTTGAAATATGTAATGGGCATCATGGATATGATCAGAGGCATCAATAGACCTCAAAAAAACAGTCCCTGCAAGACAATTCACAAACAAATTCATCTGACTTCTTCTCTTCCTATCACTCCAAGCATCAGTCATAATAGAAACCCCATACTGAGCACATGCATCCTTCTGAAGTTCTATTGCTTCCTTCGTGGCACTCACTGCCTTTTTAGGCTCTGAAAGCTCATATGGGGTTGGGGGTTTCATCCCAGGGCCAAATTGGCCAACTGCCTCTATCGCAGCATAGAAGCTGCTTAAGCGGGCTGCATTGAAAGGAATGCCTGCCTCATAAAACCATGTAGCAAGATAATATGCAATTATATCTCTCTCTTCCTTCTTGATTCTATTTTAAATGGTGGTTTGCCTTTTTGGTTTCTCTCTTGCAACCTCAAGGTCAGGCCGAGGTAAAAAACTATCCATAGGACCTCTAACCTGAGGCTTCTTAGTCCCAGAACCAGAAGCAACTACAACTCCCTTCCCTTTTCCCCTAATAATGGATTGATCAACCTCTTGACATCGCTCCCCAATCCTTTCCTCGTCACTATAATCATCATCAAAATTGATCCGAACCTCAGACCTAATACTTGCTATACCAGCAATTCTCTCAACTTTTTTCATCTTCACCATATTCAAAAAATTCTCTATTTCCTCTTTAACAGCATCAGGAATCTTTTTACATGGGGCAACATCCCCCCTAATACCGGTAATATGTTTCTTGCACCGGTTTATGCTCCATTTTGTATCCTTTTCACAAAACTTACATCTTATGCAATTTTTATCATTAAGATCTGGGTTATAGCCATATTTCCAATCGGGATTACCACTCCTATTAAATCCCAAAGAACACATCTCAAAAATAATGCAAATTACTAAAGCAATAAAAAAAAATCACTTACTTTGAGTTTGATTGCTCAATCTTCAAACTTTCACCTCATCAAAAAGTAAATATAATACCAATGGGTGATGTATTGATCAATTTTGGTTAACTTTGAGTAACCCTTCGATCCTAAAAAATCCACTGCAATCTAGCTTTTTGGGGGCTCTCTCTCTCTAAATTTGGTTCCAACAAGGTTTAGGTTTCAAATGAACCTAAAACGCTAATTTTTTGCCCTTAATTAAAAAAAAAAGGATGAAAAATGCCCTCACCGAATAGTTTTTCTGCCCCTAGGTAGGGCGCAAGCCCTAGGTAGTCGCTCAGGGCTGGGCGCCCGCCTAGGCTGGTTCCGTACCGCCTAAGGGGCCGTTCAAGGCTCGACTGCCTAAATTGACCGCCTATCGCTCAGGCCTTCTGGACCGCCTAGGCACTGGGCGGTCCCCTTTTTGAATCTATGACCATAACATGATTAACTTTTGTATCTCCTTTCATCTTGTTGTTTCTCTCCTTATCCTCGTAAAATACGTAAGAAATCATGGAGTACATAAAGATTGTAGGTCATAAAAATTTGGAGGTCCACACTTGATTGTATATGAACCAAAAAAATGTATTGGTGAAACTCGCTCCGAAATTAGAGGATACTCGATTCCAAGTTGGAGGAATCGTGGTTCCACTTACTCATGGAACCATGATCTTTGGCATAGGGATCTGGATCCCATTAGATGAGATTGTGTACCCTAATTTCTTAAATCGAGACCCCAAATATCGAGGAATCGCACGGAATCGAGATCGTATCCAGAAGCGCGGGATCGAGCTTCTAGAGCAAAAGCGACCCCCTCCTTAGAGGATCCCAGTAACTATGGATTGACATTGTCCTCCTCAAAATCCAACGCCTTGTCTGAGATAGGATTTTCTATATGATTTTTGACATGGATAGGAAGCTTTTCCATATGATTATCCACATGGAGAGGAAGCTTGATCTCAAGACTATCGTTTTCGAAGGGACGAGATGAAAGTCACCTCCGTCACCATCATTGCCCTGATCTTCAATGCTCGTCTCCACATTACATTCACGCTGAAGTTGTGCAACCCCCTGCGTGAGCTCTTCTACTCTATCAGCTAAAGGCATGAATTTTTCTACTTTCTCCTAGAACCCCAGATATTTGACAACTAGATTCCATTAGTTAAAATCACATGCAGAAAAACAAAATTAGCGACCATGAAGTGCAATTTTTTCGATAGAAATATATCATTCAAAAGATTATTAAAAACTAAACAAGAAGAGGAGTGGGTTATAATCAATAACAAGATATTCATGTCTAATTCAGGACAGTACCTTTACTAGCAATCCAAGCGAAATAAAGATCTCAAGAAGGTAAATATAGAGAAAAACAGACAAGCTCAATGAAGCATTACCTGTGACCAGCATGTTGAAAGAATAAACCAGCAGGAGAATTTGGCATCTTATTTCCTACATTTTCTTTCTTTTTACTAACCTGAACACACATATAAGTTATAACCAACTGAGAGTCAGTCTTTCCACTTAGTCAACGATATAAAAAAATGACATCTGCAGAAACAAATATTTCAGGGTGCCCGTCTTTGTGGGTGTATATCTATGGGGCACAATGGTCATTCAAGTTCTTAGAAGGTCAATATTGAGGAAATGTAAATTGGTCCCCATTGGAAAACCTGTCAATCTCGACAAATCTACAAGCTAACCTCCCAGTGTATTTTATGTTTTTATTCCAAGTGTCTCATCTGTTAGTAGTTCATTGGAGAAATTCCCAGGGGATTTTCTACAGTACATGATGTTTTTTTGACTCAACACAAGGCTCAGGCACATGATTTAAGATGCATTCATTCCTCCATGCTTATGCTGTTTGTCTAAAACTTGATTGTGGCAATATTTTCCTATTCTATAATTACTAAAGAATCCACAATGAGTAAAAATACATAGAGGATGATTTTTGAGTTGACAAGAATGTATGCAATCATCATAGTATTAGCTTATTTTTAGAGCACTTGGAAACACTAGAAACTCATTAAAGACACAGCACTACAGAACAATTTACAATCCAATAATTTGCAGAAGTTCATGTTACAATGCAGCATATAAAGATACATATTAAATACGCAGGATGAAATCTTCCACCTACAGAACTCTGATTCTATGAGCATACATATTACGTCCAACACTTTAAGACACCATGAGAATGGGTTACATATATGTACATTATATTGCGACAAGCCTGCAAAAAGGATATAAAAGTAATGAGAGGACAATGAAATACCAGAAGTCGTGAAATTGGAGCTAATGATGCCTTCATATCAATAAGTGCTTCAAATTGTGGCAAATAGCAATATGTACAACATCATTATTCTCCACGTTCCTCTTAAAGTTAGAATATTCATTTCATAAAGCTCACTCTCACTAGAAAAAGAAAAAAAAAAATATTCTTCAAGTGTTAATACAAAGAGAAAGATTACTAAAATTGGGTTTAATATGAAAAAATGTATCGATCTAGAAGATTGCAGCAGTGCAGCTAAGTAGAATCATGAGCACAAGGCCACATGCCTCTCTTGGTTGTGAGACATCATGTGACATAAACATTTCAAAATATGCTTGAACAATGACATCAACTTAACTCACCCATGCCCAACAAGAAGACCATGATAACCGACAGGAATATAACAGACAAAGTGACCATGAAATTAGCCAACCTTTTCATGATCCCAAACATTCAAGTATCCATCCTCTGCAGAACTACCAAATACAGATGCCTTGTCAGGAGACCACTGCAACCAAGAAACCAAGAAAATATTTAAAGAAAATGTTGCTGCGGACGTATTCAACTCACTCAGTCGAAAAAGGATAATGTTATCTTCAGCATAAGAAACCTTAAAACCTGTCTACAGAAAGTTAGCATCTTATTTTAAAGAATGACACTAATAAAAATACAAACTATACCCCCACCTGCACACAGAGAACAGCAGCTTTGTGGCCCTCAAACTTGTACACTGGAGATCCAATCCCATTAGATGTGAGGTTTCGACGATCAAACATACGAACTGAATTATCAGCAGAGCTGCAAGAATGAAGCAGTGTTTCAAAAGGGATGAGTCTTAAGCATTTGTCATCCTACTAATTGAGCAACACAATAGAAATAGCTTACCAACACCAATAATTTAGAAACGAATTAACATTTCACGAGCATAACTTTCCAATCCATAGTTGCCGGAGTCTCTCACCCACTGTCGCTATTCCGATTCAGAATACCGATCAGCGATTCCAACACGGAATCTTCATGAAATCTATTTCCATGAAGTCAGCAATTCTGATTCCTAATTATCAGAATCTCGTTTCCATCACTTATAGAACCTCATTTCTAATATTTCTTAGTTCTCAATTCCACCGCTAGGGCATCCACCTTAGGCCCTTTTGGCGAGGGTGGAAATTGCCCTTGCAAAAAGGGCATTTAAGTCATTTTCTCCTCTCTTTTTTTTTATAATGTTAACCTAAGTAATATGGGGGGTATTCCGGACCCCCAAAACATAGAAAGTAAGATTTCCATCCCAAAACCCAATTTTTTTGCTTGTATCGAAACCTTTTTTAGAATCAATTTCAAACTCAAAGTTTTGATATCTTGTGAAATCGAAAGGCATTCGACTTGGGTCTTTTTGGAGACAAAAGAAGTTGCAAAAGAGAGCTTTTGACATCCAAAAGTAAGCAATTGAAGCCTACTTCGGTTGAGTTTGGAAAGTAGATTTAAATGTTTTATGTTTGGGGTTTCATATTTTCTATGAATATTGTATTATGCTACATTTTTTAGTTAATTTTCTTGTGTTTATATTTGAAGTTTGGCATGACATTTACGATGAAACTTCTTACAGTGTTTTTTTTATTAAGCATTTTCTTGCTACTTTGGTGATTATAGCATATTTTTAAGTATGTTTGGCTATGTTTCTATTGTGATAATGCAAAATAAATTCTTGAACATCAAGTACAACAGTTTGTAGATACAAGAAACCACGAATTAATCAAAGATTGAATTTTACTTTTGTTGGGGTTTGTCGCCTTTAAGGGCCTAGAGAGCTTGTAAACAATGATATTTATAGTGGATTATTCATGCCAATGGGGGAGTGTGTGTTGACTGACCAAGGGTTGAGCGGTTTATGGCCCGGGTTATGTCCAATACCCTTACCCATGGGCATGTGGCACTACCAAGAAAAGCTCATAATGGTTCATCACTTGTTGAGGTCAGAGAGATGCCCAGGGATGATGCTTGTTAGCCAAGAGAACGGTTTAGTCTGTTGTATGTGATTCTAAGCCTATAAGAGCAATGCCAAACTTCCACACGGCATGTACACAAGATAGCCGCATTACCGGAAAGCAGCCCTATAGAGGGACATGTACACGTACATACACAGGACCACTTTTGTATTGTAGTGGCAAGTGCTAGACTTTCTTTTAAAGGGTGGAACTAAAATCCAAATTCTGAGATGACAGTTCCACTGTATAATCAAGAGTTCCTGCATAAGACTGAGTCATGGGTCTTTGTTGGACTGATTTGAGAAGACAGATAGGGATCATGGTTACTGGGTAGGGTGGAGTGCCATTATAATCACTTATCTTGACCCATTCATAGACCCATTCATACCAATCCACTTTTAGATATTCAATATTTGGTATTAGAAATAATTATGAGAATTTTAAAACAAAAAAATTCTCCAATTGATTTTTCCTGTAAAATCTTTATAAATGGTACATTTCAAAATTTTCCTAATTCTAAATATTCAGAATAAGGAAGGGCACATGTGGGGCCCTTGGAACCAGCCCCACATAATGCCACCCTTACATACGTGTGGCCTATGGGGCCCACTTGAGGATCCACTCACTTTTTAATGGTACTTTCTTTTTAAAATTGAAGTTAGTTATGTCAAAATAATCTTTTAAAAGAAAAGTTCATGGGAGTTTTTTCACTAAATAAAAGTTATCTTTGATTTCCTACAAATTTTGAAAAAGATAATAAGAAGCACTAGATTGGATATAATCCTATTTAAATTAGAAGTTGGGACTTGGGTCAAATTATAAAAGGATAACGTTCCTAATAATCTTCCCAAAATCATGATGGTTGATTTGTTGAATGGATGGCTCATATTTGTTCTCTCACCCCACAGATTTCCTAATTTCCTATTGGTCAAGCTGTGTCATTGGATAGACAATACCCAAAGAAGGAATTCTTTCTATTTAAGCACCATTGAGCCCCTCTCTCTCAACATACATATTTATCTTTCCTCCATGCACCAAATCTCTCACAAGAATTCGTTTTTCTCTCTCCTTCCTTCCAAAACAAGTCATGCCACCCAAATTTTAAGAAGACAAGGGTTGCATATTGAATCCTTAATTAGGGTTTTTATGTTTGGAGAAGAAAAAGGGGTTCGTCTAGCCATAAGAGGATACAATGCCATAATTTGTTCCTCAAGGTTCCTACAAATCCTAGTTAGGTTTTCATACTCTATAAAACCCTAGATTAAGAGGTATTGCCTATGAAAGCTTCCCATATCTGAAATTCCAGCAAGATCAAAAGGGACAAAAGTACGTCAACGGTTAAGGAATCGAGTGTGGGGTGTATCAAGTCCTGTGCAGGTAACCCTAAGCATGATCAAGTAAGTCTTCCTGACTGTATTTATTTAATTTTCAGTCATATATGTATACTTTTTGTGATTTTCCAGAAATATATATTGTACTTAAATTCATAGTGAAAGACGGGATATTACTCCTAGGGTTTGTGATTATTTACTTAGGTACTAAAAGAAAAAGTCCTAGGTTGTATTTTGGGTTTTATTTTTTAATTTACAGGAGTGTATTGTCACCCATATAAGTGGAATTTGGGTATATACTAATAAAAGTTAAAAAAAAAAAATTTATACTATTATCTTGAGTTCCACATAGCCACACCTTTCATTGGTATCAGAGCCTCCATATTTTATTGTCATTTTCTTCTTTTTTTTCTTATTGAGTCTAGAGAGATGGCAGCCTTATGGTTGAGCTCATCAAGTCTAAAATAATTTGACGGGAAGAACTATCGTAGCTAGAAAAGAAAAATAAGCTATGTCCTTTTCGAAGAGGGACTTAGCCAGATGCTTATAGATAACCCCCCCCCCCCTCCTATCTCTCCCCTCCCCAATAGGGAATGCTTATGCAAGACAGTCCATTAGAGATGTTTTTGCTTAGTGGAAGCGTGAAAATACCCTAGCTAAGCATTTGCAATTCATGGGCATGGATGACACCCATGCTTTCAATTATAACCCCTTGAATATTGCGAAAGAAAATCATGAGAGACTGGAGGCTGATTATGCCACTCCTTCGCTCACTACAAGAACCATGGCAATGAAACAATTCTCAAATTTAAAATGAAAGGAGGAAGGAAAGGAAAGCTTGCTCAATTCTATGCGGAGCTCAAAGGAAAGCTTTATTTAGGCCTGACTGCAAGAAAGAGCACGCTGAAGTTGGATGAGATAATCACCAAGCTTAAAGCCGAAGTAGAAAGGAGACAGACTCACGAAACTGCAGCCATGAATGAATCTGTAAATCTGGTACATCTTAAACCCAACTTCGGTTTATTCAAGAAGAAGAAGGGCAAAAATGGGAATAATAGGTGTAAGAAAAGGAAAGATCAAAGAATACCCAGTGCTATAACTGCAAGAAATTTGGGCACAATGTGAAGTATTGTAGAACTCCCAGGAATATGAATCCCAAGGGCAATAAGGAGTACACTTGTGTGGTCCTAGAGACCATGCTAGCTGATCCTAAATAAGAGTTGTGGTGTTTTAACTCAGGATCCACTACCCATGTGTCAAACACCAAGGATAGCTATAGAATTTTTTAACTTGTTGCCCTTGGGAATCAATATATCTATACGAGTGGGAGTCAGAAGACTAAAATTCTAGGTACTGGAGAATAGCAAAAGCATGGTCCTAGTGAAAACTCTTTATGCCCTTCATATGAGGAAGAGTTTGATTTCTGTCTTTATACTGGCTAAGGCAGGTTACTCCATTTTTGCTAGTATTAAGGTGGAGGTGAAGACTGGAAATGAATTGGTCATGAATGGTCTTCTTATAGATAGATGGTTTCTATTCAATTGCAATAAAGAATTAAATTCCATTTCTTGTCTCGTGTTACAATGATGATGATGATGATGCATATATATGGCACATTAGACTAGGGCATATGAATTCTAAAAGAATGGAGAGACTAAAGAAAGAAAGTTTATTGGAATATCTGAATGGAAACTTAGCCAGAGTATGTGAATCATGTGTTCAAGGAAAGCTGGTTAAGAAATCCTTCACAAAATCTCAAAGAGCTACTAGTATTTTAGAAGTTGTCCATAGTGATATTTGTAGACCTATGAATGTGGACTCTAAGGGCCGTAAGAGGCACTTTATCGATTTTATTGATGATCACTCCTAATTTATACATGTTTACCAGTTACGGGAAACGTCAAAAGCCCTAGACCATTTCATAGAGTATAAAGCCGAGGCAGAAACCCAAACAAACCAAAAAATTGAAGTCCTTAAGTCTAATAAGGGTAGAGAATATTTCTCACGGTTATTTAAAGAATTATGTACTGAGCATGGTATAACAAACCAATATACTATGCCGTAGAGGTAGCCGAGAGATGAAATAGGACCTTGATGGAAATGATGAGGAACATGATGGGACATGCTAAACTCTCCCTAGATTTCTAGGGAGAAGCTATTTTGACAGCTAGTTATGTCCTTAATTGGAGTCCCACTAACTCCTCATGAGATTTTCATTGGTCGTGCTCCGTCCCTTGGCCACCGCCAGAGTGTGGCTGCCCATGCCCTAATAACCCACCAAAATAGGACAGAATTAGATCATAAAACTATTAGTCTATCTTCATAAGCTACCCACCACATGGTAAGGGATATCATTTTTATAATCTTGACATAGGGGCTGTCCTTCAAAGTAGAGATGCGCACTTCTTGAGGAAGAGTTCCTTGAGGGTCATGTCACTCAGAAGCAAGCCGAGTTTTAAGAGACAAAGAGTGATATGAGTCAGGC